TGAATTAGCTGTGACGATAAATTTTATCAACAACAGGATTTATACCTGATCTGGTTAATTGTAAATGGTTGTTTTCATCGAAAAACACCATTAGTAGTAATGACTATAAGAGTAGAAACGGATTGGCAGTTGACAAACCACCATAAACGACAGATTTCAGTCTGGCTTAGTGATAGTAATTGAGAAATCGTATTAAAGTTGCATAACTCATCTCTTTCTCTAGAGTAAATGCAGCCAAAAAATCGATATAAAATGTAAAGGGTAAACAAAGATCGATAATATGTACGGAGTATTATAACTGAAATAACAAGTGAATTCATTTAAACTTGGGATTGTTGTTACTCCTATTGATAAATCAGCCACTTCACGCTCACCAATCAATTGATTCACTTCTAATTGGGCACGACTAATCAATATTATTAATAACTTAAACAAAATATAGTTTTTAAGGAGTTGATATAAACAACAAAGCTTACGGACCAACAGATGAGAACGGCCGATTTTCTAATTCGTTTCTAATGAATCAAAGAAATTTGATAGATAAGCGAGGTTTTCCTTCACTCCATTAAATTAGTTTTTAAAATTCCAATGCTTTATTTAACTTGAATAAATTATGCGCCGAGACAATTATAACATGCTTTTCTATAGCTAGACGAATTACACCATTGAAGCATCTTAAAAAACTGCTAAAAGGTAGTGAATAGAGTGAATAGTGAATCTTACATCCTCCTTCAATTTCTTGATTTCATCGCTGTAGGAGGCCACTGTGGTCTGGAGAACTTGAGCAGCGCTGAGAGCGTCGTCGATTTGAACGTGGATACCCTGCACCTGCTTATCGATTTTATCGAGATCTTCACTGATCTGCTTCTTGATGTCATCCATAGACTCCAATTCCTGCTTAGTTTGATCAATATAGGCGTCGAAATCTGTAAGAAGATGAAATAATTTCATAAAATTATTCCCACTACAATGAGTCCTTGTTTAGGCACGCATTTTCAAGAGATTTTTAAGTGTTGACTTTTAGTGGAATGGAGGTAAAAGATTGAAAGCATTCATTAGTTAAATTAAAAAAATGGTCATATTTTTTAATTCAGAAGTGGGCATTTGTTCAGCCGAATTCAAACGCAAAAGTGCGTGCCAATTACACCAGTCGTCGGTCTTGACGTAACAAAAAGTACATGTACGAAAACAAGTCGTAGGTTTAAAAATGGAGCCAAGTGAAGATTACACAGACGAAGTTAGATGCCGCATTTTCTAATAATTCCTCTTCCTCTTTGATGGAACTCGAGGTGCATTTCGTTATAGCCCCTCAATTTGACCAGAAAAATAACTGGCGAATTTCTTTGGGGCGTTTTCAATAACGAGTAATTTAGAATTGCCGACTACCACTGCGTATCTTGTCATATTCCAGTTCATAATGTAAATAGGCTCTAGTAGTGGAATTTTGTTTTAATCGTTGTTTTATAAAGGGCGGACGACTCAAATAGAGGAGAAGAAATCCAAATTAATGCTAAAGCGAAATAGTAAAGGGTCGATCGTTGCGTTGTTCAACACTTTTGAAGGACCTCTACCGAGTATTGCAGGGGTAAATGTAATCGCTAGTTTCATTTTTCTCGGCTCTAATAAAATACAAATTAAGAGTAGGGAAAAATAGGATCAACTGATCGTCAATCTCGAAGTAACATGAACCTATTCTCTCTCTCTCTCACGAATCAGGGCGTCGATTCATTACATTTTTATGCCAGAAAGTATTCCCCTTTGCCAGACTACAACCAACTCAAGGCTTCCATAATTCAATCAAAGTAAACCTATTGACGCTCAAAGTTCACCTCTGACCTCAGCCTAGATTTCACACACCATTAGACTTTTTCTCTACGTCTTACTAAGATCCTTGTAGCCATGATTTGCGTTCGTCTATGCCGCTCACTCTGGGTTGGTTGATGGAATCAAATTATTAATCGGACTAGTATTATTGCAACTGCTTCTAGTTTCCAAACTCGTTTCCAGCTCGTTTTCTCTCTCTCTTGAGAAACATTAAATCCTATTGAGACAAATGTCTGTCGGATTTAAACATTTTATTTTAGAGATCATAGGGGATTATAACCCTAATAAATTGTTCTGAATAATGACGCCAAATTCCAGCAATGTCAATACACGAAAAAAGAAAAAAAAGTAAACATCAGAAGCTAACAGACCTATTTCTTTTCACCTAATTTCATCACTTAAAACTGCACTCACTTACTTTAAAAGTTAATCAATAAGTATTGATGCCATATTTTAAGGTAAAAGTTAGTTTCCCATTCGCGTGACTCGATGTTGCAATTTTTTATGTAGTAATAATAATATTTACTTCTTGAAAGTAAAGAAAAGTACATAGGTCTTTACCAAAAAAAACAATTTTGCTGCCCCAAATTTCAAAACTTTAGGTAATTAAGGAAAAAGTGGACGAGATTGAAAGTGCAAGTATTATGGAACCACAGGTCGGCGTGGTTTTTAGATGGAGTAAGTCGTGAAGTGACAAGTCAAAGGTGATAATCGTAACATGGAGCTTCTGTCTGGGAAAGCTAAGTACGCAATAGATCATGTGTTTGCGGAACCCGAACGATCTATGTTCTCATTTGGCATAAGCTATAATTTAATTAACGAATTTCAAGCATATTTCCACAGTGGACATCTGTCTCACCTTGCAGATCCTTAATGGATTGCTTTGCATCATCTACGGACTTCTGAGCGGTTTGAACTGCCGTCTCGGATTTGTTGAGCAATTGTTCCAAACGCTCGATGACCTTGACCTTTCTGTCGGCAAATTGAGCCTGCCTCGCAAGAGCAGCTCTAAGACGATCTCGACCCTGCCGCAACTCATCCAGCTGACCCTCCATTGCCTTCGATTCCTCCTCGAACATCTTCTGCAATTCGAGAGACTAAGGGGGGAAGGAAAGAATAGGGCTTCACACTGGTCCCCTCTTCCTTGAACTTGGTATTAGCAACGTAGGGTGAAAGAGAGTAGAATACTTGCCGGATACTGATTTATAAATGATTTCGACATCTTATAAAGAAATGCGTTTTCATGACGGATCTCTACCCAAAAGATCTTCCACCAATCAAACTCAAAAATATTAGCCAATACACTCGCAAATGACGAAAACCCAATAACGAAAATAACACCGTTTCAATTGCCATAATATTCGATTTTCTAAACATTTCTAGAAAGTTCTTTTGGTCCACCACCACCACCACCACAACTGCAGATCTAGGAGGATGAGATCTTTAAAATTCGTAGTATGAAGATTTTGCATTTTCAAGAGGTCAATTCGCTGTTGAATGGTTGAACCGCTTCAACAGCTACTGAATGTGCACTACCCTCGCACCATAACCCCAATGACCTGAGATTCATTCAAATGTTTGTGCTCTCCAAGGCAATGAGTGTACTCACATGGAAAAATCAAGACTCACTTCTCCACTTCACTAAGGCAATTTCATCAGTCCAATTATTTGGCCCCTAAATAAGCGGTTGCTAATCATTCTGATCGTGTGGGGAAGTTTGGTAGAAATTGGAAGGAAATTTGAAAATTCCCGTTAGAATATTTTAGCAAAAAAAGATATCGAGGCACCATCAAGAGCTCCAAAAGTGGGTACAATACAAGATAGAGGTCGATATTGAGCACTACTCAAGCCGAAAACTGAACTTTGTTCACATAAATAGGCATATTTATTAGAGCACTTGAACACAAATCGAATAGGGGGAGGTTGTGGTAGTTAGTCACACTGCAGAGAACATGTTCGCAACCTCCCGTTTCTACTGAAATACCTTGGCATGATCAACTATTCATGATTTAAAGTGAAATGAGCTAGTTAATAAAAATTTCTCACATTAACTCCCTTTAAAACGTTTTGAAATGCCACAATTCGATGAAATCGTGGAGGAATTGAAGGCAGTGATCTAGCACTATCAACGAGGTCACAGTTTTTTCAATTATAACAACAAACTGGTGATTCCAGTGTCAAAATTTCTTAAGAGATTTGTTTTACGAAAGAAAAGTTGGAAAGGTTGGAAAGCTACCTTCAGCATTACAGATTTAATACAAAATGCTTTCAAGAGATCATTTGAACCAGCACCAGAATCGATTCCTCGGAGCTGGGGAGAGATGAGCATCTTCTTTCTTCACCACCTCCTCCGCCTTCCGATTTTCCCGAATTACACGAACCGTGCTGTCTTTTCTTTCAAAAAAACCGACACACTGTGAAACCTTGCCATTCAGACTTCCAATAAAATGAAGCTGTTGAAATGAGTGTCTTGACAACCTTACAATCTACAAAATACTTCCTTTTCTGAAAATAGCGCTGAAAGAGATAATGAAATTAGGCACACACGCGTAATTAATTATGACCAATGTTTTGTCTTCTAGACAGCTCTTAATATCGCCATGACCAAGTTATCTAAACTGTCTGCTTCCTCCTCCTCCTCCCAGCAATCCCAGGAGAATCGAAGTGGCTGTCTACTGGCAGCGTTTACCGAGGCTCCAAGGAGAGCATAAAGAAAGCGATTGTTTTGGCTGAAATTAAATAGAAGCGTTCAGTAGATGTGTATTTCACTTTTTTTGCGGTGTGTGCGATAGACTTACCTCTCCACGTGGTGTACCCTGGGCAACGTATACTCATACGACAAAAAGTCTATTAACTGGCAGCTGACTTCTGACTTCAAACTACCATGACCCCACTGTTTGTCATATTCGACCACTTCCACAGTACTCATTTAACCTTTTCTCTTCCTTTATATCTGTCTGCCTCTTTTACATCTGTGAATCGCTTTTCTGTTACCCCTTTTCGACTTTTGCAACTTTGATGTTCCTCTTTCCTTCTGCGAAGCCCGAAGTCAGCTGGAGGACTAGTGATAATGAACAAAAGGCCTGCCATTTGAAATTGATAAATAAATATGTTGCATTTGAACATATATTGGCAAGCCCATGTGTTTTTTCTATTGTGACATGTCCCAATTGAAAATCTTAAGACAATTCTCCAAATTAATAAAAGCCTACAGGTAATTTCAAGAATAGTGGTCGTTGGATTTTGTAATCTAATTTTCTTAGAAGACTTTGAAATGCTTCTTACCCAAATGCTTTGCTTGAGTCCTCGAAATACTCAAAAATATCATTATGAATTTCAAGAGATGTATTAATTAAGGTGGAATTTACTTTTCGGATGGGAATCAAAATTATATAATACTATTAAACAATGGAAGGAATATTTTAAATTAACCAAGTTTGAAAAAAGAGAGAAATAAGCTAAGCCTAGTTACAACCCAGGGGGGACACAGAGATCACAGTTAATTTAAATGAGATCTCATTTAATTGACATCACTATTCCACTAATAGTTGGTAATAACTACCAATAGGATTGTTTCTTGGTCAATTGAAGCACCATTCAGAAACCATCATCAACAAAGAAGTTAAATTGAATTGGGGGGATGCTGAACCAACCTTATTAAGAGCTTCCGTCCAGTCGCCAAATGCATTCTCCAGCTTAACATGTTCAGCACTAACATCAGGAACTTTCGCTAGAGCATCAAACAGCTTCGACAAACGCTGTCGCTGTTCCAAAGTTAAGAATTGAACAGTGTCAATCTTCTCCTTGAGTGAACCCTTCTGCATTGCCATAACATCCTTCAATCTAGAATAAGACGGTGGTAAAGGCAGCTTGTATTAGGGAGGTAATATTACCTATTCAATTGCAAGTTAAGTCGTTGGAATGCTGCGTGAGTGTTCTGTGCCAACTTCTCCGCATCAAATTCAATAGTGCGGAGGGTGGTGTCGATATCTTGCACCGTTTCGCGCAAAATTGAAGCATCTTCCTGCAATCTAGATCCATTCAAAATAATTATCATTTTAGTTTACACACATATACATATGTACTACCTGCTGAATAAGACAATGGTGCTTACTCTTTAATTGTTTCAGTAGCATTTCGTGCTTGTTCAGTGAGAGTACCGTCCCGATTTCCGGAAGCAGTCACCTTCGCCTCAAAGTTGGCCAACTCCTTCTGACCCTCAGTTTGGATCCGATTACCCAATTTATCTAAATCACCTCTCAAGGTATCTAATCTTTGAGGGAGATCTGGACGCATACAAGCAGGCTATACGAAGGAAATGGAGGTTATAATAATAGCACGTAAATTCAACCTCAAATTGGCACAATAATTTGTAGGCAACCAGCGGTTTACCGAGTAGATAAGATTTTCCCATTCCGTCTTAAAATTTAAGCTTGTGGGAGATTACACCTTGGAAGTTGATGGTATTGAGTGAGTGGATGTCTAATGTCGCAGACAACTTAGTTAACAAGAAGAAGACCTAATCGTGCGATGCAAGAGTTTGTCGCTCAGTAATAGCATGATTTACACATTTACACCATGAATCCATCCATTTCTCTACCTCCAATATCAATGACAGGGTGTGTGTGATAGACTTACCTCCACATGGTGCATCCTGGGCAACGTATACTCATACAGCAAACAAAGTCAATAAACCGGCAGTTGACTTCTGACTTCAGACTACCATGACCCGGCTGTGTGTCATATTCAGCAACTTCCACAGTACTCACCTTAACTCTTTTTCTCCCTACTTTTGTGTCTGTCTCTCTCTCTCTCTCCCCACTTTTTGACACTTTGATGTTCCTCCTCCTCCCCACTGTGAGGCCCGAAGTCAACTAAAGGACTAATGGTAACTATCCTAAATCCCGTCATTTGACCATAGTGACCTTGACGCACGAACATATCCAGGTCACTGGAATTTATTTTGCTCAATAGCCGTCAATAGCATTTCCGCCTGGTTACTTATTGATTGGCGTCGGTATAAGCGGACTAATCAGAGTTGTTCATTTGGAATTCAATCTGCTACAGAGTGTTTATAGGCAGCATTTTTAAGCTCCTTAATCTCTCCCCTAATTAAAGTCAAAAATAGACCAAGTTAATTGGCTAATTCCAGGCCAGTGAGAATTAAGCAATTGGCTTCTGCAGATATGCTGGACATGTTGATTGACTTCGTCATAAAGTAAGGTAGTACACAGAGATTGGGAACATAAGACGATTCAATAAAGTCCTAAGTTCTCCACTAACAAATTCAATTTTCTAGACTAAAGTGTTTCAGGTTACTTTCCGAACGAACGAACAGCGGTACTTCAAGGAATGAATCGACAAAAATAAATGCAAATGTAACGTCTGCATGGATAAAATGTTTTAATGTCAAATCTGTAGCGAAGAGAGGGTCCTTACGAAATCTATCATAGAGCCTCTGATTGACAACTCTTATTATAAGTGCACTGAAAACTGTGCTAGAACACTCGAAGCTGTGTATTCTAAATACTGGAACTATTCTATTGGCTAGAGGGTGTGGTGCACCCTGGGCAACGTATGCTCATACCACGTATTCGACCTCTTTTACAGTACTCATCTTACCCTTTCTGAGCCTTTGTCTGTCTGTTTCTTTTACATCTGTGAATCACTCTTCTATTCTCCCTTCTGAATTCTTCTCACTTTAATGTTCCTCCTCCCCTCTGTGAAGCCCGAAGTCAACTAAAGGGCTAATGATAACTATCAAAACGCCTGTCATTTGGCTAGTATTCTCCGTATGTCATCAGAATGTCAACCTCCGTTTGTGGCAAAGACAAGGAGATCTCCTTCCAGGAGACTCCGGGAAACACAATGCTAATTTATGTGTCGGAGAGATATCTGGCACTTGGTAATGCACAACTTCCAAAATCGATGAGGATTAGATACTTGGATTGCTGCCATAGACAAAGCACTATTTTCAGGTTCAAAGGAATCGGCGGTTCAGCTTCATTTCCATCTGACGCATCATTGCCATTAAGCAATAGTCATGTCATTTCGCTTGTTATATCTTCTTTCCCTTCTTGCCCTTAAACTTGAGCATGTTTTGATCGCACTAATTCTGTTGGTAGAAATAGGCTACTGAGAGGGTACAAAGACTTTCAAAAAAGCTATTTTCACGACAAGTAGATTTCAATGTCAGCTTTTATACCAAGAAAACTGAGTTCTCACGTGAATACTTCGAAAAGTACACTAACTTTCATCGAGGAGAGAGGGAGAGCATTCATGAGCACGAACCTACTTCAGGTAACAGGCATAAATAATTTGAGAAAATTTTGCCAACGTTTCTCAATTTCCCGACCATGGAAATATGCCCACGTATCGATCCGATTTCGTGGACAATACTAAACTAAACCTCTTTGTCTTCTCGTGCGAAGTCCTCGATTGTTAAATGGTTGATTGAAAGTTGGTGGGGGTAACCAATTGATCGAATGGCCCAAAAGTCATCCATCCGAATTATGAAGGGAATAAATTGACTCCATTTCAATCCATGCCCCCACCCATAGCTAAATCAGCTTTACATGCGGCGAAGCCAAATGGTGGCAGCATCTGCATTTTCTTGGGAGGTGTGGGGGAGGTGGGTTGTTCCACTTACACGACTAGTTCATTACCCAATATCAGAAACAATTCTCCTCAAATCAGGTGAAATAGGGTGTGTTTCATGGTTTGAGTGACACTGAATATATGCTTCCTTTTTTGTGCCTTGTGTCCATCTCTCATTCTACCCACCTAATTAGATTAGGATTAAAAGTTTGACAGAAGTAGCGAGTTTTTTAGACATTGCTACAACCCCCACTAATCACCTGCTAAATGTATTTATCCTGGGGTGGTAGATTTACAATCGATGCGCATGCAAAACACGTGAGATTCGGAATACCCATTAAATGTTGCTTACTCGATGCACTGATAAAAACCAATTTCAAGACATGGTTTATTGTGCCAATAGTGAGTGCGACCTTAAATTAACCGTATGCATACAAATCATTTTTTTCCCTTCTCTCGAGATTTCTCTTTATTTGAATATGGTAATCGCATTTAGCTCTTGTAACCCACAAGCATCAAAATCACAATCAATAAATCTGATTGGATTGTAACTCCAAATTCAAGGTCATCCTTTTGAAAACAGACGTTGCCCCTAAATGACAGTGCTTTTTCATACCCTATAACACCAATTAGTGGAAATTTTCTGGGGGGAGAGGGGGAGGGGTAGAGGAGATGGTTTACTAAAGTGCATGAGAAAGTCAACTAACCTTGTGCGAAATATACCGATCCAGTTCCTTAGTTAGCTCTTTAGCTCTACCGAGCAAATCATTGAAGGTACTTTCCAATTGTTCGGCGTTGGTGATAGCGGATCCAACTACAGAAAAGGATGGAAATATGAACCATCTCCAACTTACCTAGACTGTTTTGCAGAGCAGCTTTGTAGGCGTCTTGTATGGTTTGATTAAGCATCTTAATCTGATCGTAGAGTTCAGTGGAATTGTTGCTAGCATCAGGGCTGGGACCACTGCCGAACATGTCGCCCAATTTCTTTCGAAGGTCATTGACGTGTTTCTGCACCAGATTGTAACAGGGAGGGCATGGTAGACAGCCCGCACTGAGATCATATCGATTTTCCTAAAATAGTACAATAAGTAAGTGTGTTTGACATTTGAACACCATACGCTACACCTGTGACGCATCAGTTAACGGGCTTAAATTACCGTGTAGAACATACTGACTAGTATCCTTTGGAATTTATATGGATTGCACTTCGATGACCACTTACGGAATGCGCATCAACGCTCTCATTGCATCTTAGTACGTTCCGTTTTCCAAAAACCGTGTTCTCACGAACTTCCATCACGTTTCGAATTCCTAATACCCACCACCACCACCTCCTCATCCTTCCTTCCCCCACCCCCACCCCAGCCTCCTAATCCTTTCTTCCATCCGCTCTTATTCCTCCATGTTTGTCTTTGCATTTTGGAGAAGGCTGTAATAGTGTGCGTTAGACTTCAAGAATACCGTTAAGGTTATAACCAAATCACCCAAATCACGATTTCCGGAGCCCTACTTCATCCGATAACTGGTACAAATCGTAGTGATCTCAAATAATGACAAAGCTCAGACTGTTTTTGAGCTTTGTTTTAACATTTTCTTCAGCTAATCTTTATCTTGTAAAATAAGGGGTGTGCGAGAGACTTACCTCCACGTGGTGCACCCTGGGCAACGTATGCTCATACGGCTAAATAGTCTATTATTCGGCAGTTAACTTCTGACTTCAAACTACCATGACCCCACTGTATGTCATATTCGACCACTTCCAGAGTACTCATCTTAACTTTTCTCTGCCTTTGTATCTGTCTATCTCTTTTGCATCCTTGAGTCACTCTTCTCTTCCCTCCCCCCCTCTCGAATTTTTCCCACTTTGATGTTCCTCCTCCCCGTTCCCCCTCTTGAATTTTTCTCACTTTGATGTTCCTCCCCTCTGTGAAGCCACCAGAAGTCAAATAAAGGGCTAATGATAACCATCAAAACGCTTCTATCATGAAGCCTGCCATTTGATATAAATAAATCTTGTAAAATAATTAAACCCGCGTATTTCACTTAAACTGCACATATATATCTATCGGAATATTGAAAATAAAAGTAGATGTGTAATAAATTAAAGACCAAACAAGCTTGACCCCGGCGATTTTAAATTAGTTGAAGCGGGATTTGTTACAATGCTGAAGGCTCGATATCTCGCCTCTTGAGAAGAAGAAGAGGAAGAAGAAGAAAAAAGGGCATTTTCTCTTACCTCGCATTGATCACATTTTTTCCCACTTGCAAAGGAACGACAAGGACATTGGCCCTCTGGATTGCATTGTCGATGAAGGGATCCATAGGGGTGGCAGCCACAGTCCTGGCAGCCGATGCCTGTGGTGAGATTGAAGTAGCCGGCTTGACACTCGTCACACATTCTACCCATTGCGAAGGGCAGACAGAAACAATTTCCATTGTAGGAATCGCAAGTCTCCGATTTCGAGCCTTTAGGACTGCACTCGCATGCTGTACAACCCTGGGGCAAATTAAAACAAATTATAATTGTATTAAAATCTGCCATTTAGTGTTTACTCGGCTAAAAATGTCCACTGTTCTCTTGGTTTGAAAATTGTGATGCCAATCTACTTACCAAAAAGAGGGCTTCTTTTCAACCCCCAACGGCGCCACCTCTCCTTATCCTATAGACATATTTTGGAACAATGGGGAGCGCAATAGACTTACCTCCACGTGGTCAACCTGGACAACGTATACTCATACGGAAAAAAAGTCTATTGATCGGCAGTCGACTTCTGACTTTAAACAACTATGGCCCGACTATTTGTCATATTCGACCCCTTCCACAGTACTCATCTTACCTGTTTTATGCCTTTATATCTGTCCGTCTCTTTTACCTTTGTGAATCATTATTCTGTCTCCCATCTCGACTTTTTGTCACTTTGATGTCCCTTCTCTTCTCTGTGAAGCACCGAAGTCAGCTCCAGGGCTATTGATAACTATCAAAACGCCTGCCATTTGATATAAATAAATATTTTGGAACAATTTCCTCTTATTAAGCGAGAAGGTCACTGTCTTTCATAGGACCACTAAATGGTTTAACTTCTACCCTTACCATTAATTATTCATGTGGAAATATTCGTTGGGAAGGCACAATATCCCTCGATCAACTTAATAAAAATCTAGGCATTTCTAGTTTTGTTACAATAGTTGAGTAAAAAACAGTGAAATTACATGGGGAGATGGAATTTAAACGCCATAACTAAGTTAGCGTGCATACACACGCACGCACGCGCGCGCAGAGGGTAAGAGAGGCACAGAAAGGGGATGTCATGATGGCGATGGTATGGCATGTCACTAAAGTGGAAGGTGGCAGTGGTGGTGATGTCGATGATGATAATTATATTAGGCATGGAGCTTGAGGAGTGGAGAGACCATTGACCCTGATTATCGACATCCTGGAAATCACCCAAGCAGAATGCTGCAGCTTCAAGTCCACACTCCCCCTCCCCTCTCCCGCCTCTGCACCTTCTATCATCATCACCAGCAGTTGTCCCCTTTCTCGACTTGTCCCACCACCCCTTCCGCATCTCCCCTCATCATCCTCCTATCATGTCATGTCATGTTTGCTCCAGTCCCCAACTCTTTGACTCCCCTCCCACCCCCCCACCCCCTCCTCGCTTTTCCTGCCTTGCTGCATGATCCCTTTTGCAGACATTTGACTTTGAATGAGGTCACCACAAAAAACATGTTAGTTTGCTATATTTTAGAGGTGAGAAAGTTCTGGTTGAAAATAAAATTTCCCGATGTGGTTCCGCTGCAATATCCTACTAATAATCATGCCCATGAACTAAATCTCACGCACTATTCCAAAATTGAAATATCAGCTTACTTCTGTGATTAAGAATATTTCGATTTCACTGGTATTCAATAATTAATAATAATTCTCCTTCAAAAGTCGGATATATGCAGAAAAGAGATATTGCAAAAATGGAAAAATAAAGTAGTTTATTAATTGAATATTACTATTTAATAAAAACTTAGGGTGTGCGATAGACTTACCTCCACGTGGTGCACAGTGGCCAACGTATACTCATACGGCAACAAAGTCTATTAACCGACAGTTGACTTCTCACTTCAAACTACCATCACCCCACTGCATGTCATATTCGACTACTGTACAGTACTCAACTTACCTTTTCTCTGTCTTTGTGTCTCTCGTTTACATCTTTGAATCACTCTTCTGTCACCCCCATCTCGACTTTTTGTGACCTTCGGAAATTAGGGAGGGGGAGGATGGGGAGGTGGGGTGGGTTGGGGGGTGAATTGATTGAAAGATCTCCTTAAGACATACAAATTACTAATTAATTTTCTTGCAAGAATCAACTCTTCTAACATACTTAGCTTGAGTACAAACTTTTGACTTAAATTTACCAATTTAACACTATAGCTATCGTCTCTAAAATCGCAGAACTACATCAAAGTCCACCCCCCCCCCCCCCCCCCCCCACCCTGCTCTTCATGGAATTGAATAAAATCGGCCAGTATTTCTTCTCCGATGCTTATCAGGCCCCATTGCAGTTAGAACAAAGTAAAAAAAGGCCTTCAATGGAATATCAGATCAACGATGTTTGCGGCTTTCATTGTTTCTCTTCTTTCTTCCCGCTGGCGCAGAGGACTTGATGCCAAAACGCAGGCGAAAATTCAGAGATAGAGGGAGAGAGAGAGAGGAGAATTGGAGAAGAGTTGCTTTCGGTGTTGACAGACAAAGTTGGGTAAAATATTTAACAAATTTTATTGCTACCTTCGAGACAAATTTCAGATTTTTAACCATGATTAATCAATTTTAAAAGTGTTGGATTGCTAAAAGGCACTTCAAGATTGAGTAATTTTATGATATTCTGTGATTGGGAAGCGTTGATCTGTATGGAAAGGAGGCGGGAAATTCCCCCTGGGGGTGATTGAACGAAGCTTATTACGAAACTCGCCGTCATCAAAATGCCAAGAATGTTTAAACGCAGGTTTCTGTAAAATGTGACGAGTAGGTTCAGCAAGTGAACATCCTACTCATAAGCCAATTCAGTAGTTCCTTGATCCCCTCTGGTGGAGAACTAGAACCATTGGCTAATCCCTTCTGTAAATGCACCCCCTAGTGGCAACAAAATCGCAGAAAGGGCGAATGACAGCTTAAACCACAGGAGTATTTATGAGTACATTACTTCAGAACCGCCTTTAAACCAAAAGGCCATTTTTTAAAGTACAATCAGAAATGGCATGCAAATGTGTAAGGAGTGTACTAACCTTTCCAGATTCGAAACCATAGAATCCATCACGGCATCGATCACAACGAAGTCCAGTGACACCGGGCTTGCATGGGCATTGGCCAGTCTCCTCATCGCACTCACCCAAACCACCAACACCTCCAGACATCGCCTGCGTGCCAAGTGGGTCACAGTAGCAGGGCTGACAGCCACGAGCATAGGTTGTCATCTCCGTCTCGCCTGTCTCAATAGAAACGCCAGTGCCCGCCGCTCCTTCGCCGTCAGCTTTCTTCACATTACGACGATAGCCTGGAAGACACTTCTCGCAGTGTTCTCCAGCTGTTCCAAAAAGACACTTCTTGCAGACACCCGTTTTGCTGATGAACAAAAAAGTTCCCAAATGCAATAATTCACTATTACAAACGTTAACTTTCAGTTAATAGAATCCCATCTTAGTAATTCCTAACATTATTGACCTCCTTGAATCACTTGCTTCGACTTTGTGACTAGACTATACGAGTCCCCATAGAGAGGAGTAACAGAATTCACGTCCCATCTTTATGCTATTGATGTTTCTCGAATGCCCGTCGTTTTGAGAGCAAGCTATAGACTGAGTCATAGCGTTGAATAAACTTTGAATGACAACCAGTTTATTATTATTGCAACTAATATATATTCGCGAAAGAGGGCCACTTGTTGCGCATGTATTGAAAGGCAGCAATTAGTGGGATTCTAAGATGTCATGAGAAGGGACAATATTGTAGTATATTTGTTTACTAACCAATGTCAGTATTGACAAGTGTGGGATGTGCGATAGACTTACCTCTACGTGGTGCATCCTGAGCAACGGTAAAAAGTCCATAAACGGGCAGTTGACTTCTGACTTCCAACTACCATGACCCCACTGTATATCATATTCGACCACTTCCATAGTACTCACCTAACCCTCTTCTCTACTTTTGTGTCTGTCTGTCTCTTTTACATCTGTGAATCGCTCTTCAATTTCTACCTTCGTGTCTGTCTGTCTCTTTTACGTCTGTGAATCATTATTCTCACTTTGTGTCAGTCTGTCTGTCTCTTTTACATCTGTGAATCACTCTTCTGTTTACCCCTCTCGATTTTTTGCCACTTTGATGTTCATTTTCCTTTCCCACCCCTTGACTTTCTTCTACTTTGATGGACCTTCCCTCTTCTACCCCTCGACTTTCTGCTACTTTGATGCACCTTCCCTCTCCTCTATGAAGTCCGAAGTCAGCTAATGGGCTGATGATAACAATCTATATTCATTGCTCATTGTCCGGAATTCGGTTAATTTTCTCAGATGTCTGGAGAGCAATACTTTCCCAAGACTTCACTCTCCTACACTCCCCTGCACTCTTTCATAATTGGGAGGAAAACGTCTGAATTTTAGGCTCCTGATGAAAAGCCCCTTCCTTCCTAAGGTTGCCATAAAAACAATCATTCAATATTAGCTAAATGACTTCAAAGAAACCGCATCTTGCTTATAACACATCCAACCTCTGATGATCACGTTGGAACCCCCCCCCCCTTCCAAAGCCACATTATACGAAATTTTATGGTTGAAAGTTTAGATGCTTGGACAATAATAGAGGTTAAAAAGACAGTCAATGGCTTACGGATCGCAATTTCCTCTTGCTCTGAGATCCGTATTGTTTGAACAGTCGCATGGTTGACACGGAATTCCACTCATTGGATCACCGAAGAAGTTCTCCGCACAACGTTCACACCGATCGCCTATTGGAAAACAGACCCAATTCGTTAAGATGTGCTTACGCGAAGGACAAGTTTAACCACTTCAAATTGGGATTTTGGTGGATCTACAAGAAGTTCTTCCTGAATACTGAATACTTCTTGAATCATTCGACTTCGGGTGAATAAGTACGAATGGAAAACAAACTTTTGGGAATTTAGTACCCATGAAAGGAAGGATAATTCGATTACTTCCGAAAATGGTCATGCACCTGAATGCATTGATATCATTACTCCTAATTTGAAAGGTATGGGCGTTGACCACCACGAAAACACTGAATCAAGTTGTGGTTACTAGTGTAGAGGCGGGGCGGGGATTTAATTTAAGGTACCTTAAATGAAGGCTATCCACTACTTTTACGTCTAAAATAAGAGACAGGAAATGTCAATTCATTGGAAGTCCTTTGATTGTCAGTAAGCTGTCGCAGATTTAGGGAAACAGAGCTAAGTTTGATTTACAAGATAGACTTACTTCCACGTGGTGCACCCTGGGCAACGCATGCTCATACGGCAAGTTAATTAACCGGCAGTTGACTTCTCACTTCAAACTACCATGACCCTACTATATGTCATGTTCGACTACTTCCACAGTATTCATCTTACATTTTTTCTGCCTTTGTGTCTGTCTGCCTCTTACATCTAGGAATCACACTTCTGTTCCCTCTCCTCTGTGAAGCCCGAAGTCAACTAAAGGGCTAATTATAATTATCATATATCCTGCCATATGATATAAATAAATGTCCAAATTACAGGAAAATCCAAAAGCGATAGAAGGCTTGACTGTACTCCTCAAATTATCATTGTAAACTAATGCGAATATAGGGATTACATTTGAAAACTAGGGGTGTGCGATAGACTTACCTCCACGTGGTGCA